CCTCACATCTAAAGATATTTCATATTTGTGTGAGCCCTTTGGGAACCCTAGAAATTACACAATGATTTGTGGGAAAATAATTTTTATTATTTGACAATAAATTATTTCTAGGTAAATCCCATTGGTACTATGGGAGAAACAAACACATCCTTTAGATAGAGCCCAGTTTGTAATCTCAGTTTTGTCCCTTGTCTGCTGTGTGTGTAACCTTGTGAAAGCTACTATTTAAACTTTTAGCTTGCCTCTCACCTAATAGGTGCTGGAAGAATTCAGTGACAATGTATATAAAAATACTTTAAATTCTAAAATGTGACACCTGGTGTTACACAACTAGTTAGTGCATTGCAAAGCCACAAATACAACTCAGGCTTCATAATGCAAATTTTTAATATCCTCAGTGTATGTTATTTAGTAAATACATGCTAACACATCTTTGATTTCTCATCAACTACAAAAGTCAAAAGACGTGCAGTTTGAAGTTTTTATCTCCATTTCTACCCTAGGTCCTTCTCTGTTTTTCCTGAGTAGATTTTTTAAAAAGAAAAAAAAAAAAGGATGTCTTGGCTTTACCAATCAAGTCAGATGTAAATGTATTAATCCCAGCCCTTACTGACTAAAAACTATGGTATACTTGTATTAGACAATCCTAAATAGAGTTCATTTGATCTACAAATTGTAACAAATCAAGTCACCTTCCAGTTTCATTACCTGGTACATAAATAGAAACACCAGGTTGCACAAACATCTAGGCAGGTTTGTCTTCAACAGATACTGTATAGCTCACTCTAACATTTCTTCCCAATGATCTTCTTCCTTACCTTCTCTATATAGTGGCTGGAAAGCAAAATACTCACCCCTTCCCAGACTCATCTGCAGCTAGGAGGAGCCTTTTGACACAGTTATGACCAATAAGATATAGGTGAAAATCCCAGGGGAGAACTTTCCAGGAATTAAATACAATAAAGATTATTTTTGGATGGAGCACTAAGTTCCATTTTTCTATTTTTCACATTACAGTACTTGTCTAAAATTGCTTGGAGTGAAAAAAAATTTAAGGGACACCTAAGCACCATCCTAGGAGCTCTGGTAGCATAGTGCCTAAGGCACTTGACTGCTAACCAGAGGGCTGGCGGTTCAAACCCACCAGCCACTCCTCGGAAGGAAGGTTGGGCATTCCTACTTCCGTAGTGATACTGCCTCAGAAACCCAAGGAGGGGTCGCTATGAGTTGGGGCCGACTCAATGGCAAATAACAACAACAACAAGAAGCACCATCCTACATTGATACTCAACATATCTTTTCATGAACACTGCTGGGAACTTTATCCTAACAAGATACTACTGTCTCTCTTTTAGGTATGTGACAGAGGTTATCTGACGAGGGCAAAGCTATCACCTCTAAGAACTGCCAACGATGCAGTTATGGATTTGATGCATCACAGTTAGAAGATCTAGTTCTGGAGCTGACCACCAGTAGAGTATGTTTTAGCACTGTCAAAAATGGTAGACAATATGTAATCAGTGGAAGTCACTGACTTGCTGTGAAAATGTTTATTTTCCTCCTTAGGGTATTAAATGGCGTGAAATAAACACAAAAGTAAATCCTCCTTCAGTAGCCTATATATGTGGGGAGTATCTATCCACTCTCTTCTCCTCTGTTCCTCTGCTTGTCTTTGAACATTTCTCCCTTTGTTTAATATCTACTTCCCAAGATAGGCAGAGAATTGGTGAGTAAAACGCAAAAGTTATAATTTTGTTAACTTTGAACACCTTCGGCATAAATAAATCAATTATTGAAATGTGGACTTGGTATTTTAAAAAAAACACTAAAATGGTATTAGAGGATCAACAAGGGTTTTTGTTTATCTACACAATTTCATTATAGCTACTACTACTAATAAAAGACTACTATTGGACTAAAGACATCTTTTTCAGAACTCTTGCTCAATTGTAAGCAATCTTACAAAAGTTTCAAGTGCTCAGTACTTAGATTGTTCTGTTCATTTTTACCCATTTCCCTTCTGGACACAGGAAGGTTAAAAAAAAAAAATCAATTTCAAACTTAGCTTGTAAAATTAAAATAATTTTCTTCTAGCAAAAACTCTAAAATATAATTTTTTATCTTCAAAGAATTAAATCCCTAAAATTGAGTCCTCCCTTTATTTATTGACTAAAACCAATTTAAACAAACAAGATCTTTTAACAGAAACAAAGAATGATATATTGGTGCTATATTATTTATAATTTATTACTTATAAAAAATATCTTCAGCTTTGTCATCATAATGGCAATGCAATAAAAAGTCAGGAGCCTTGACATTGAGGTTTATAAAAAGTGCTCTTTTAAAAAAAAACCTAAATCATAATTTTTTTAAATTTATGACTAAATTAAAAAAAAACTGGAAGGTGAAACTTTGTAAGAATTTTCAAAATGTATAGAAAATTATGTTATGTGGTCAAATATCAACTACTTCAAATAGCATAAGGTAACTGCATCTCCAAACAATTTCAAATTCTAAATAATAAAAAATTGTTTAATGTTCAGGTAATTCTGTAAACAAACTGCCAACTTACAAGACAATGTTGGTAGTGCATACATTTTTCAAAATGTAAGAACATATCCCACTTCATATTTTAACACCTAGTGGAAAATTCTTCTATATTAATAAAATAAGTATTATTATAAAATTTCAAGGATTCTCTGTAGTATACCAAGATTTCATATGAAAAGGCAGAAGTTACTTTTTATTTTTGATATAAAACAGTAAATATAAACCCAATGTAGAAATCCGAAGTTAGACAATTCCTTTGACAGAAAACTTTTAATTATAAAGAGCTCTTAAAATAAATACAATCCATGAGATCAGGGAAAGAAAAGAAAGGGAAAATAAATAAATAAAACCTTGCATTTTTATTAACATCAAAAAAAATCATCAATACACAAATTTAATAACATTTTTATACTATCAACAACTTGCTACACAAAATTCATTACAGTGTGGCAAAAATAAAATTATTTTTAATTTAAGAGGGAGAAGAAACGTTTACATGTATAAAATTTCACAGATAAATGCCAATATACATTATTTATATACATGTCACATGTTATATTATTCCAAAACTAAAATCAGTTGAACTTGTTTGGCCAATCCAGATTTAGTGAGTGTGCAGTATTTATACTGGCTCAAAGACTTATGCTGAATTAAGCTTTTACAATTCAGATGACAATTATACACGAAATATTTACACAAACATTAAAATAACTGTCTATTAAACATGGAGGAGGGGGAATGTAAGCTTTTCCACATATATGCAAACTAACCATTATCAAGAGCAGCTTTGAAAATATTTTTGTGTTTTTTTAAAGAGATTTGTTTCTAAAAATGTAAGTGCCATTTTAGAATAAGTTTTATAACTCTATAATTTAACTCACATGAAAAGAAAATAATAGCTGAGAATAAAACACAAGACACTAAAGAGTTAAAATTTTCTTTGCAGTTACTTATATTTGAAATAAGACAATGACAGAAATCGGGCTTTCAAATACTGTTTTTCATTTTAAATGTATATCAAGTACTAATAGACTGTTTTTGATCTGGGATAGTTTTTTTTGAAAAAGAAGCAAACTGCTAATCATATTTCTGTAAATAGATCAATAACAAAAATTTCCAGAGAACTGTTCTCAAGTAGATTCTTCATAGAAAGTTTAAATGCTTTCTTTAAAAGTCAAATGTAGAAATCTTGCTTCCATGCAAGTAACTTTTAAAAAATTAAATTTATACCCACTGTTTTTCCCAGTCTAACTATTATTTATCTATAAGCATATTTACTTGTGTGTCCTATTTTGTGTTATATAAAAAGCTGGTAGATGATGAAGTAATGTGCAAATTTTTAGGAGAGAAGACAAACCCTATTTGTTTACTACCTAATTCCTACAGTATACTGGCAATCTACTGGCCCTAAACACTAATTTAAAACATAGCCCTCAAAATGCCTCAATAGCCTATCAATCCACAGACTTAGAATTATTTCTGAGAAGAATTGGCCAAATTTTTCAACAGCCTGGCATATGGCCTAACAATGGCACTCAAATCACTTCTTAAAAGAATCAACACACCAATAAGCACACACTTGTCATCCTGTTTGGTATACACATCACATCAAATTATTAGGAATGTTTTATGGCTCAAAGTCACACATAATCAGTAAAAAGGAAATGCAGTATCTCTGTACATCACACTGGAGGAAGAAAAGCAAATGGATTGCATCTTCATTAGAGAATGGCTGGAGTCACTTGAAAAGGTCATTAAATAGCAATTCTAAACACCCGTGACCCTTGTAGGAAAGGAATGCTTTTCCCCAGGGAATGGAAATGTTTTGTGGGGCATTCCTTAGTCCACTGTTGGCATGACTGGGGGTCTGGCTAAATGTTTTATCATACATCTGCATTTATATGGTCTTCACTGTTACTAGCAGAAAACATTTTTGTTCCTTCCAAATTGCTCTTGCTTCTGTAGACAATTATGTGCTAATTATTACTCAACATAACACTGAGAGCAAAACTGACAGCACTGCAAACACAACTGCAATTTAAGGAGCCAAAAGGAAATATGTTGGCAAGCTAAATGCTTACACAAAAAGATGTTCACATTTTAAAATAATAGTGTGTGGGAAACTGGAAAAAAAGAAAGAAAAGTGCAGACAAAAGTATTTAAAGGTTTTGGTGTTCTCCCAATTGTCATGCTTTAGGGGAAAAACATGGTTTCTTTAAAGTACAATGTTTACAGTCGTAACTCATGCTATCTAGTGGCACAGGGCTACTTATTGGGTGTCCAGATTTATATAGATTTTAAAGTAAGATAAAGCTAACTGGAATCATCTTTAAGTTGCCTTTGATCAAAAGTTTGACTCCATACAAACTGACTGAAAAAACTCTTTTATGGTCTTAGAGTAAGATGGGCTTTTGTGCTTTATTTATTCATGGTCCTTTTGAGTTGAGAGAAATACACTTATGAATCCTTTCAAGAAAATGCTTGGTTTGTTTCTACAGGAGAGGCTGCTGATGGTAATTTGTTTGCTGCTGTGTAATGGAATGAGCTGGAATTGCCAACGGAAAGCCCGCTACTTGCGGCAAATTAGTAGTAGTGTTCTGGTAAGATGACATATCCATAGACATCCCCATTTGCTGTGTGTAAGCAGTTGTACCAGTAGCTGATTGAAGGTTAGAGTTCTGGTTCATGTAAGTGGGGTTGGAAACAGTGTCTTGTCCAGTGCTACAAACAAAATTTTGAAAAGAAAATTGCATTTATATTATTTAAGTTAGAGAGCAATCCATCATGACAAAATAAAAATGCTTTTTCCATCTACTTTTAAATTTATGTAGCATAGTTAGTCTAATTATGATCTAATCACTCCAGCTATTAGATACTGATAGTGTAATTTTTGGGAGCTCTGGTAGCATAGTGCCTAAGGCACTTGACTGCTAACCAGAAGGCTGGCGGTTCAAATCCACCAGCCACTCCTCGGAAGGAAGATGGGGCAATCTACTTCCGTAGTGATATTGCCTCAGAAATCCAAGAAGGGGTCGCTATGAGTCGGGTCCAACTCGATGGCACATAACAACAACAACAATGTAATTTTTATGCTTTGTAAGAAGAGAAGTATACTCAAGAACAAACCATCATCTTATAAGGCCTATTTAATGTAGGTTCTCAAAAATTTCTCACTAATGGCTAAAGCACTTGAGCACTAACCAGAAGGCTGACGGTTCAAACCCACCAGCCACTCCTCGGAAGGAAGGTTGGGCAATCCTACTTCCACAGTGATACTGCCTCAGAAACCCAAGGAGGGGTCGCTATGAGTCGGGGCTGACTTGACAGCACGTAACAACAACAACAAAAAAAAACATTTAAAAGTCTTTTGAGGCAGTGCAAATTGTTCCTGGCAGTGGTGCCCTTGGTCAACTGCTATGAGAATGGATACACGAGTTCAGAGATGCACCTTCAGTCCACATTCTCCCTTCCCCTGTCTCTGAATACAGCAGAGGGAACTACCTCATCTCCTCATACACCCCTTAGGCTTTGCTTTGGTAAGAGACTTCACTTTCAAGGCTGTCCCTGATTGTCATCTTACCTGAAACCCTACATAACAATAATACAAAAGCAGAGAGAACAGTGTAATGGAATCTATCCTTAGGATAGTCCTTCTCATAGTTTACTGAGTAACTATACACATACAAACAAAAAAAAAACGAGCTAAAAAATCACATCAAATTGTAGGATTTCTGTTTGTTCCTATAACTACTATGGCATATATTTCCTATAGGTATAATTTTCAATTATACCAAATATACCAGTTGCAATACAGGCAAATTTATTTTTATATTACTACTCCAGTTTTTTCCTCCATAATTCCTAATGTCACTTGGGATAATGAAATTTTACATTTTAATGTAACTAAACATCAATATGCACAGGTTTATTTCATTTTCAGGTAACATTTAAAACTCATACGCATGAAACTTAAGAATGGGAAGAGACCTTAGAGATCATCTAAAAATACCAAACCCATGTCATGAATTCAGTTCTGGTTCATAGTGGCCCCATATGACAGAGCAGAACTACCCCACAGGATTGCCAGTCTTTATGGAAGCAGACCACCACATCTTTCTCCCAGCAACCTTTTGGTTAACAGCTGAGGGATTAACCACTGCACCACCAGCGCTCCTCCAGAGATCATCTATGTCTGACTATATTTAAAGAATATCTTGTATGGTTAAGCAAAGTGAACAGAAAGCAAGATTTAAATATGGTTCTCAAAACAGGGCTCCTACTATTTAAAAAAAAAAGTAGACCATAAATCCCACAGCTCAAACACACCTCTTTTCTGAGGGTCGAGAACTACAGTTTTTGATTCTTTGGAGTCCATGCAGATAAATACAATGTGGACTACTTAGCTAGGCTGATTATAGCACAATGTGAAGAATGTCATGAAATCGGTACCCAAAAGGACAGTTAGCTGTATTTTGTCCTGGGGACCTACATACATGCAGAGGTCTGGGCAACCATCTCGGTATGGGTGGTAGAGCTAAGAGCAGCACCATTTTGCATTCTTAGCACAGGACTAAGAATGAGTTCTATAAGTTCATCTTTATAGTAAAAGATAGAAACAATTATTATAAAGAAAGGCTATATATTGTCATTCTGAAAGTCTGTGGTAAATTAATGTATATAATTACAAAACTAACACAGTTCTCAAAAACTTACCTTAAATAAGGAGTTTGAGCAGGCTGTGTTGTCACTGAAGAATTCACATTTGGAGGAAGAGATCTCAGTGGACCAATCTGATCTGGTCCTAGGCTGTAGCTTTGGGCAACAGTGACATGGTGAATGCTTTGACTCATATAGTTTCCGCCATGTGATTGAACTGGGTATGTCTATTAACCAAAGAGCAAAAGTTGACTCACTGATCTCTAAACATCTGCCTAACAGTAAATTTAAAACTTTGAAAGACTTAAATGAAATCAAACATTATAGTTCTTTGGAGAGGAATCTGGTTCTAGCCATCTATCTATTCTAGTACAAAAAGTGGAGAGTTTCCAAATCAAAGTGCCAAATCTATGGACATTTACAATTTGCTTAGTTGCTCTTTCATTCTGTGGGTGAGGATTAGAGGGGAGAAGACAAGAGGGAGAAAGGGAGGTGATTTTTAAAGACTGGAATCCATCCGGATTGCCTATTACTCCGTAACAGGTCTTGCTATAGATTCATAGACTACTACACACTCCCTTGAAGGGAAGCCCATCATCACTTCAAGATACCATCAAAATGGTGGTCTTCTTCACCAACTTCATCCCAGGATAACTCATCCAATTCCTTCCTAAGAGTGCAACTTAAGAGAAAAAATTTTTAAAAAAAATTTTTTAAATGGTATTAGGTCAGGGCAGTGAACCCTCACTGCAAATGTTTCCTAGTCTCTAAGGCATCTGACTGCTAACCAGAAGACTGGCGGTTCAAACCCACCAGCCAGTCCTCAGAAAGAAGGTTGGACAATCTACTTCTGTAGTGATACTGCCTGGGAAACCCAAGGAGGGGTCACTATCAGTCAGATCCGATTTGAGGGCAATCTGTTCTGGTGCATTGTGTTGCGTTATCCTCAAGAAACAGCAAAAAAAAAAAAAAAATAGTCCTAGGTCTTTCGATATTTATATGGATCCTACTTAATTTCAAGGGTAAGGACAGGGTCTTTTATCTGCCTATTGTATACATCATTTAAAACAATGCACATGCTTAATAAATATCAAATAGGAACTATCACCACTTTAGTTTTAAACTAATCTATTTTTAAAAGAAAGATCACCCACACAAAAATTCAGAATACTAGAGATGCCAAAAAAATTACATCAACTGTTTTCATGCCACCTCAGCAGACATCCAACAACCCAATGACACATGGATGAGAATGTCGTGAATAAACTTCCTCTGCAATTTAGGGCTCCTCAGTTACCTTCAAAGGTGCAACTAATGGTGTATTACCCTAACTGCTTTTAGTACAGAAATAAGTATATACTTTTTCAAGTTACAATAAGATCTTTTGAGTATTTTAGATGCTTTTGTGTGTGAAGAGTACAAATATAAGTAATGTAATGTATCAAACCAATAGAAAGCTAACTTTTTACAAAAATGATGTGCTTAGCAAAATACAGGTATGTAAGCAATATAAAATTAAACACAAAAATCTGACACAGAAATGACAACCCTTTTCTCACACGAGGAAGCAAATACAACACAAAGGTCTATCATGCAATACTGCAGATATTTCCATTTTCACAGGAGCAGCAAACATTTTTGAAAACTGAAGCAAACTAAAGAAACTCTTGCACCCAGAAATCCTTTCTACTCTCCTATGGAATGACACTTCCATCATTTTCAAAAGTTCAAGGCATGGCATGTTTGATAAATGCATCTTATTTGATGTGACAGTTTCCATAGTAACTATTCTTTTTTTACTTCACAATTATGTGTGTCAAGTCATCTAAATTATGCACCCACATTCTACCTTTTCTCATTGGTGTCTCCTTCACATACTACCTTCCATACCAGTTTTCATAAATTAACAAGATTTTGCTCACCCAAACTCATTCTGAAATTCAATCACTAATTTGCTGAAATTTGTAAAGGGCTTTAGAATGGGGATACTGATAACTGTTAAGTATCCACTTCAGTTTACAAGCACAGCAAAGGTGTAGAATACTGGAAAATGATGCTGCACATGATGCCCTATGGAGTCTGTCATTACCTCATAGGCCTGTGTCGTATCCTCATCATGCATGAATTTTTAACAATTTAAGTCATGCATCTAAGAAAAGGACATAAATCAAATTTTTGAGGAAAAATAAGTTCATTATGAAGTCTGAATCATTATGTGAGTTAAAGAAATCTTGAGAAATTTTAAAAGAAATGTTAAATCTTGCTTACTGAGCAGCAGGTAATTGCATCACTACATTACCTAGAGGACTTTGAAATGACAGGCACGGTCCTAAATCACTTTACACTTACAAACACACATGAAGAACAAGAACTCCCCGCATTTATTTAATGTCATGTTAAAACTGAACAAAATTCTATTTATGTAATACCAGTATCAAATTTGTTCTGATGAATAGTAATTGCTAAGCCAGTTATTTCTTGAAACTACTAAATTTCATGTATAGACTATACAACTTTTAATTCTATATTTTAAAACAATTTTTTGTTTTTAATTGAAAGACTTCTTTTTCTTTAATTTGAAAAATGTTCTCAAAGAACATGCTCACCTGCACTGGAACCCCAGCTGATGCAGATGGATAATGTGCTGGAGGATGGAGCTTTGAATAGACTGAATACACTGGTGCTTCATTCACCAATTTGTTATATAATTCCAGAGCTTCCAAGACTTTTACATTCAACTCAGACAATTCTGAATGCTTCCTGATATGAAGAAAGGCATTTTAATACTCTCCAAATTTTTAAGCATGTATTTAGCAACATAAATTATTTTTTACATTTGGCACATTTTTAATTCACAATTAAAAGGTTTTTTTATATATATATATATATACAATGAAAGAATTTCACAAAGGGAAACTGGGAGGAAGGACTCTTTAATTCTTCTAACAGCTAGGCTGATAATGAATTCACAATTATTAAGGAAAATCCTTTTCATGCCTCTTAAAATGCAATCACTTCATATATTTGTTTCTGGGAGAATCCTGTTGCGTATGTTAAAAGGATTCTGTTGAAAACTCAACTATAAATAATAATAATTTCTTAATCTAGGTAAGAGTCCAAGTTTTAATTATGTATCTCAATAGAGGAAAGCATTAGGGCAAAGCCCAGAGACTGTTTTGAAATATATGACTGCAATAAACAAACACATACACAAGATCACATTTTCATTTGTTTCTATCCATGAAAGGATCAACTGAAAAAACAAAAGTAATTATTTAAATAATTATCCTTGTAAATGCACATGAAAACAACGTATAGATATAAATCAATCTCTACTGCTCATTTGTTTGTTTTCAGAAATAAGCAAAAACAGGTATCTTAGGAGTTACAGTAAGATGGTGGACTAGGCAGAAAGACTGCACAGACCCTCTTCAACAAAGAAAAGGGAAACCAATTAACACAGACACAGAAGATAATCCTAGACCCCTGAGCCTTGAAGGGAAGGATACAGAAGTGGACTAAACCCCAACTAGCAGAAGAATTTGCATGAAAATACCAAAAAAGGAGACATACAGAGCTGCAGTCTGGCATGATCCTGAGCGATCCTGACGGCACAGACAGCTTGAAGAGTGCCGAGTGGTTGTAGGACCTAAGAATTAACCTAAAAATCAGCCCTGCTAGCCAGGGACTGCACAGAGGACTGCTCTGGTGGCTGTGAATAAAAGGGGAAGCAGTGGTGAAGAGGAAGACAGGCTGAGCTGTGGACTTTTGCCTGTCCAGAGGGCACTGCCATTTTGAATGTTTACAAATGGCTTGACCATTTTGGATATTTAAAGAGACAGCGTTCTCCCTGATTACAGGGGCTTAAGAACACGTTCTGCTTGCCAGCAACGCCAAGGACACTCCAGACCTGCATGAGTGAAAATGTGCGACATTCCTCTTGTTACTCTTATACCCTACACCTGCTTGGGGAACAGAGGTGTAGCCATCCCCCACTCCCACCAACTTTCTGGGCCCGCAGGAACTCCATCCCAGTCTGGGTGCCCTGCCCTGCCCTGCCCTGCCCTGTCCTCCACTGATTTTTTATTTTCTCTTTTTCACTTTTTTCTGATGTTTAGTTTGCTTGTATTTATGTTTTAAAACTACTATTATTATTAATACTTTTGTCCTTTATACTATTATTTACTATTCCCCTCCCAGGTCCTAGTTTTCAGCTTTTCTTCTTTTCCCTGTTCCTGGTTGGAAAAAAAAAAAAAAAATTTTATTTAATTTTTTCTTTCCCCCTTTTTTCTTGTGGTTAACCCCATTCCTTATTTTTCGTTTTGCATTTTTCCAGTATTTTTCTTCATTAGTCTCTGTCTCTACCTTTCTTCTGAGTGCCCTATCCCCAGATATTACAGGTTTTCTTGTTTTTTTCTTCTTTTTCCTTTTTTTGGTTACTGTTCCTGTGTGATTACATGGTGTGTTTTTTGTCCATGTGCTTTTAGTTTTTTGATTGTTATTCAACTGTAATTTTTGTCTGACTGAGTGGGAAACAGCAACAGTCCCCATAAGAAACAACTACACCCATACCTCCTGCAACTTCACTTACTGAGCGAGAGCCACTACCTCCTTCTCTACCAACGGGCCAATGATAAAAAACTACCAACAGCCTGAATCACCCTTGGCTGTTCTTCACAAACAGTTAACAGAGACCTAAATACAACAACTCCATGATGTATCGGAGACAACAGACCATCACAGTCCACACAAAGAAGCAGGATAAAGTGGTAGAAACAAGGGAGCAGGATATAGACCCAGAACACACGCCTGAGGAAGAAGCAGCATTGGAACTCTCTGATAAGGAATTCAAAAGAATTATACTTAGGAATAATCAAAGGACTGAGAGACAGACCAAAGAAAACACAGAAAAAACCCTAGAAGAATTTTGGAAGAAAATACAAGAACAAAATGACAAAATAAACAAAAAATAAGAAATGATTCTAAATCTAAGATAGAAATCCAGAAGATCAGTACTAAATTGTCAGAAATAGATAACACATTGGAAGGGCAAAGGAGTAGAACTGATGCAATGGAAGGCAGAATCAATGAGATTGAAGACAAATACCTGAATACGTCTTTGGAAAGGGATCAATCAGAAAAAAAATCAAAACAAAATGAAGAAAGCCTAAGGTTCATGTGGGATACCATCAAAAGGAATAAGTTACATGTCACTGGAATTCCAG